TTTTTTTCCTTACATTATCTAAATTATTTCTTTCCATATGTACCTAATAAATAAGTCATTGATAAGTGTATTTTGACACACTCATTGGAGGCCTAAAACGGGTTTAATATTGATGAAATGAGTGAATTTCTATTCATGATCATATAAATATTATATTTGTAGGTAAAAATCCACAAATTGAAGGAGAACTGTGCAAAAGAAGAGGAAAATGACTAAGCGCACAAAAGATAAAAACTTGGGGACTAAATTGTCGATTATCGAAAGTTGAAGGACCTTGAATGAAATTTATTGAGAGTATCATAGGGAAATTTAAATTTTGGGGTCCAAAATGCACAAAATCAAAGTTGAATAACCTTGTGTGCAATTACATGACAACTTATAAGCAAATTGTAAATGTACGTATGGGTTAATTAATGTAAACTCGTTATGGAAGAAGTGGCTTCCATTTCCTCTCCATGCATGCGCATGGGTGCCTTGCATAATCAGGGCAAAATTGTATGTCCCAATTTTGTAAAATTGGTACTTCTTTGGAGGCATATTGAGAAATTTTCTAGGTGTTTTTTATGATTAAAGACACAAAATTCAGCAATTATTTCTGTTACACTCTCCACACATCACCTCAACTCGTGCCTAAGCGCGTAAGAGGAACTTCCAAATACCATATGTCCGAGTCGTCACTTTCGAAGTGCATGGACTGAGCCGATTCAATCGAGGCGTGGCCTCGCGGAGAAAAATAGAAGCACCTCTCCGCTGGTAATTTCAGAGATTTGACCAAGATCTTCTTTATATCTTGAGGACTGATGGATGTGACATTTCTGCCGTATGTCAATTCAGAATCAGTAGAATTAATTCCCCGCCCACCTAGGAAGCGATTGATGGACGCCTACACATAGACGCCTCGCACCGTCCGATGATTACACGTGTCATCCATCTAGCAGTGCTCTTTGCCTATAAATACCAAGGGTTTGGCCATGAATAGGGTAAACATTCCATAGCCAAGCAAGTATAATTTCTCCTCTCCTTTGAGTATCACGCATTTTGCCACCCCACCATCGACTGACTTGATCGTCGGAGTGTATGTGGTCGTCACCATCACCGTTGGTATCGTCTATATAAGCCTAACCATTTGTTATTGTGTGCAAGGAGTGACACGTGGAATAGCTCACTATTGACCAAGTGGAGGGTTCAATTCACGGGGTCAATAGTTTGGAGTCGTCTATGGGTCCAATTCGTTCTATTGTTCACTTCGGATTGTGTTTAGTTCAGTAATTAATTTCCATACGCCTCTGATAATTGGTTATTAGTGAGTAGAGCTCATATTTCAATTAAATTTTTAAACAATCCATAGCAAGAATACAATACACAAGTAGATCAAATATATATGGAAGAAGTGAAAATACTTGACAAAAATTTCTTTTCATTCATTACAAAAGGATTTACAAAAGGTGGGCCGAAGTCATTACAAGGAGCTATGGGTTAAGGACAAAAACTCTAGCCCCCTCCCCTTACGTCATCTACTGGAGCCTCATTGGCAGCACTGTCAAGGCAATCTCTGATTGGTCCACCAAACTCCACTTTCAGAGTAGATATATTTAATGCAGGATGGACCTCCTGTAGACGCTGCAGTATTGCCTGGGCGTTCCACGAAGGTGTCACAAGCTCGTGCTCTTCGAAATGGTCAATAAAGTTCTACACAGCTGACTCACCAGCTGCCTTCACATCCGCCTTAAGGGACTCAATCTCCTCAACTTGGGCCTCCACCCCCTACCTTAGCTCAGCCATTTCTTTAGTTGAGGCATCCAAGGCCTCCACAGTGAGGCAGTGATACTCATTTGCATAGTCTAATCGCCTCGTCAGAGTAGTCACTTGACATTCAGTTTTATGCAGCTCTTTCTTCAGCTGCTCTGACGCGGCCTCATCTTTGATCAGGCGGACCTCCGACTTTTCTTTATTCTTTTCGGCCACTTCTGCTTCGACCCGGGCCCCCTCACCTCGTCACCATAGTAGACAGCCTTCTCTAATCTTTGGGCCAAGTCAACATTCTTGGCCCTCAGATCCTTCACTAGGCCTTCTAGTTGGACGTTGGTGCTCAAGGCTCGAGCAATGCAGGCCTGATTAGTAGATACCAGATCCTCCGTCGTACAGGATAAGGTGTGGTCCCTCCAGTCAGTCCAGTATTTGTTATGGACCACTGCCACGGTCGCCATTTCAGGAGGAAGAGCCTCTAGCACCTCTCTAACGAGCTCCTAAGAACTGGTGCCCAGAAAATCCGTTTCCTTGTAGGAGTGAGGCATCTTCCTCCTTGACTGCTCTGGAGGGAAAGCTGTGGTTGGAGCAGTCGGAGTTGGGATGACGAATGTTACCACAAGAGTAGCTTCGGGCAGTTGAACCACCCTCTCTTTTATTACGACCCCAGTAGGGATCGTTGTCTGCCTCGTCGTTGGCCTCGTCACAATAGGAGCCTTGGCTGACGGCTTGGCTGCCTTTTTTCCCTTCTTCAGCAGGGGCTCCTCTTCTTCCTTCTTAGCTAGAGGTAGCTTCTTGCTGGCCATCACCAGATCCTCCATCTATCTCTTGTAGGCCGCAGATGAGGTCTTTAGAGCCGGGCCTCAACCATCATCCTTTTGATGGTCACAAAGTCGGGGTTCAATGGCCTCTTCTTGTTGAAGTCCTCTGCAATCAAAATACTAGCACCTAAGTATGAAAGTCTCCGAATGTACATATCTAATTCGGATAGACATACCTTGGGAAGACATCAACCCGTTGTTCACAAAGTGGATATTTTTCTTTACAACTCGTGATAAGATTGACTCTTCGAGGGAGCTGGTAGATTATGTAGATGGTGTCAAAGTCCTCCATGGACAGTTCGCACCAGGAAAGAGCATCTGCATAAGCCAAAACACAAGTTATAATACGAGTTGAGGTAAAAATTCGTACTATAAAACGAAGTACTAGTACTCACTAAATGTGCTGTACTTCGTGGGGACTTTCAAAAACGCCAGGGGGTTCCTCTCCATTATATTACATTGCCTTGAAGCCCAGTACCACAAGCTCTTCTAGTCTTTGATAGAACTCAGCAGGTCGAGTACAAATGGAGTGACGACCCCATGATGTCATATAGTACTACCCCTCTATCCTATCACCCTTCACAGTCACCTTTGGGATGTTAAGGGTCTGAAAAATTGATAAGTGCATCTCTATCCCATGCGACGCCTTCCTCCAATACATCCAAGAACCTACCATCTGACTCCAAGAGTTTAGATCAAGTTGGGTCGGGGCTAAATCGTAGGACCTAAATACGAAGTAGAAAAAGAGATGAATAGGCAATCTAAGCCCCGCCTTAAGAATAGCCTCACTAACAACCACGCACCCCTGCCTTGGGTAATAAGTTCACTCATCTGGGCCCGATACAATCAGACCTACGCTATATGGGATCCTATATTCTCCCCTTAGCCTAACCGTGTTGGACGAGGTCAATTTTGAGGGATAATTAGATGCCCCCAATGCATTGAAGTGCTTACGAGGCTATCTGGTCATTTCCAAATATTCTCCCCACCTAATATGGCATCTGACACTTTGGTCGAACTGAGGACAAGTGGGTCATCTAGCCTAAACCTCTCCACTTCATGACCAGAAGTCCCAATCAACCTAGAGTCCCTTTTTCGTAGAAAATGAAAGGTGAAACACTCGAAATTACTTATAGAAAATGAATAAAAAATGCTTGCAACCGTCGAAAAACCCTAAGAACAATGATGAAATCGTTGAAAAAAGTTGCAGTACAATAGAATTTTGCCGAAAGTTTGGGAGGGATTTAAAAGCAAGAGTAAAATTTTGCCAAAATAAAAACTTGCAAATGAAAGGGAGAACGCCCTTTATAGGAAGCCTTGCATGATCTCCATCGTTGAATTCAAAACCAAATGATATGGGTCATACATCAAATCATAAATTTACACCGTTAAAACGAAATGTCAAATTCGATCAACGCATAGGATCTTACAGTGATTTTCACAAATGTCCAAACTGCATTACCTCAAACTTTGATAGTCGTCTACTATAGTTAGTAGCAGTAGTCTTTTCTAGGGAATAGGCATCACATCCATCTCTTCTCCTTAGAAACTTGTGACAGCTTTCACATTATTACCTGCTTCATACAATAATACGCTTCAGCTTCAATCAATTCACAGCTCGCCACATCTTCCACGCTTCGTCCCCTGTAGGTCCACGCTTCGGTTGAGATGAGCTTATTCACTGAACATCTTTAGTCATCTCCCACATGTCGTCCTCCATGGGTCCACGCATCGGTTGAGATTAGTTTATCCACTGAAAGGCTTCAGCCATCTCCCACGCGTCGTCTCCTGTGGGTCCATGCCTTGGTTGAGATGGCTTATCCGTTAAAAAGCTTTAGCCATCTCTCACGCGTCGTCTCCTATGGGTCCACACCTTGATTAAGATGAGCTTATCCACCGAAAAGTTTTAACCATCTCCCACGCATCGTTCCCCTGTAGGCCCATGCCCCAGTTGAGATGAGCTTATCTGTAGGAAAGGCCCGAGTTTTCGCACTGAATCAGCATGAGGCGGAGCAGGTTCCGAATGTGATAGCAGGTACTTATTAATTTTTCTTTTTTTACATACCTGCCTATGTTCTTTTTACCTAGGACTAAACATCGTTTCATTTCTGTCCTTTGGTTGCTAGTCTAACATTATAATTACAAAAACAGGTATTATGTTATTATCCAATGTGCCTGCTTACGTACTTTTTGATTCTGGGGCAACCAATTCTTTTATATCTGCATCCTTCATCACTAGGTCCAACTTTGCATCTGTGAGAACAAATAATGAATTAGAGGTTAGCATTCCGTCAGGAAAAACTCTTTGCACAAACCAGATGACTAAGTCTATGAAGTTAGAGATTGATGGGAAAATATTGGAGGCAGACTTATACCTCTTGGAAATGAAAGATTTCGATGTTATCTTAGGCATGGATTGGTTATGACTTAATCATGCTACCATTCGATGTCACGAAAAAGAAGTGTTATTTCATAGACCAGGTTCGTTTCTTTGGAGCAAAGTTCAAGTCCCTACCTCGTCTTATATCAGCTATACAAGCAGAGAAGATGTTAAGAAAGGAGTCATGCCAGGGATTCTTGGTTAACATTATCGGTTCTCAACATACAGAAACGACTGTTAACGATATTAATATCGTGCGAGACTTTGCAGATGTGTTCCCAGAAGATTTGCCTGGCATTCCACCAGGTAGGCAAGTGGAATTTACAATTGATTTAATTCCTAGAGCAGCGCCAGTATCTAAGGCCCCGTACAGAATGGCACCGAAAGAACTTCAAGAATTGAAGTTGCAATTGGAGAAATTGCTAGAGAAAGGTTTTGTTCGACCGAGTGTATCTCCTTGGGGAGCTCCTGTACTTTTTGTCAAGAAGAAGGATGGGAGTATGAGGATGTGCATTGACTATCGAGAATTGAACCATTTGACCATCAAAAATAAGTATCCGTTGCCAAGAATAGAAGATTTGTTTGACCAGTTAAGGGGTGCTTT